TTTTTTTATCTGTGTCCTCTCTAGTTTTATTAATTATGTCTTGCACCCTGAGCAAAATCTTTACTGTTATCTGAGGAATTATTTCTGATTTCATTTTTCCCAGATCCTCTTTTGTTGCCAGTTCAGAGAGTCCAGGTGGTTATCAGATTGTTCTGTCTCACCTCCCTTTGGGATTGCTGTAGGTGATCCAGAAGTCTGTTTTTGAGGCTTGTTTATGTGTCTTCTCATTTCCACAGGGCGGGCCGGGGGGGGGGGTTGCTTCTGGCACCGTGTGGCTCACCCTCTCTGCCCTGAGAGCTTGGGATGGTGGTAGGGGAGATTTCTTCCGGGTGCTGGGACTAGCTCAGCTTCTCTGCCCTAGGAGCCTGGGACAGTGGTGGGGGAGCTTCCTTCCAGGTGCTGGGACCAGCTCACCTTCTCACGTCACTGTTATTTTTTTATAGATTGTTTTAAGCACTCGGCTATGGTAAGAGTCATAGAAACTATGCAAGTGTGGCAGTGTTTATCATTGCAGGTTGAACTGATGACCCACATTTGAGGGAATGGGAATGGGGAAAAAAGAAGAACCAAGATTTATCATGTACAGGTAAAATTCTCAATCATAAGGTATACCTTACATGTACCAAGAAACTTAATGACACATTTTTAAAAAGAAACTTTTGTTATTTATTTTTCAGTTTCCCAGTTATGCACTTAGCATCAGTTCAATCTGATCATAATCACAGTCACACTAGTAGATGCTCACTTTATGACCCTCATGTCCTTTTTCCCTTTCAAATTTGCTTTTTAAAGAAATTTTTATAGTATCACACATATACCTAAATTACCAGTTACTACAGCTAGCTACTACAGCTACTGGGAACAAAACCTTTTCCTATAACTATCATGTAACCCAGTTGACAAATTATGTGAGAAATTAGGTAACTTCAGAAACTGGAAAGTGTCAAATATTAGAGCAGCTTATTGAGATACAATATTTGATCTATGAAATGAGTCATAGATCAACACTAATCAAATTGAAGAGCTGCATTTGAAATGAATAATAAACTTCCTGTAAATTGGCCTAACTCAATTTCAGACAAGGGAAGAACTTCCTAGCATTCTTACAAACATTACTGATGAAGCTGAAGATATGTTCATTTTGATAAACTCTAAGAGAATTGAGAAAATATTTGCACATTGGTAAGGCTCTAAATATTAAATGTTCTGAAGATGAAAGGGAAGAAACTTTTTTTCTTGTGATTTTTGTTTTGTTTTGTTTTCTATAGATTTGACCAGACACTAAAGAAATGAAGAATCAGTCAGGAGAAATAGAGTTCATTTTGCTTGGACTGACAGATGACCCTATGCTACAAATTGTGATTTTCGTGTTTCTATTTTTCAATTACATCTTGAGCCTGATGGGAAACCTCATCATCATTGTCCTCACCCTGCTGGATCCCCACCTCAAGACACCGATGTATTTCTTCCTCCGAAATTTCTCCTTCTTAGAAATCTCCTTCACAACAGTCTGCATTCCACGGTTCTTGACAAGTATTCTCACTGGAGACAAAACAATTTCCTACAATAGTTGTGCAACTCAATTGTTCTTTTTCTTTCTAATAGGAATTACAGAGTTTTACCTGCTGGCTGCCATGTCCTATGACCGTTATGTTGCCATCTGCAAACCACTGCATTACCCAAACATTATGAACAGCAAAGTATGCCATCAACTTGTGCTCAGCTCCTGGGCAACTGGATTTTTGATCATCTTTCCCCCTTTGCTCTTGGGACTCAAGCTGGATTTCTGTGCTTCCAAGGTGATTGATCATTTCCTATGTGACACTTCTCCAATCTTACAGATCTCATGCACAGATACAAGTTTCATAGAATTGTTGGCTTTTATTTTAGCTGTGATAACGCTTGTTGTCACCTTGTTATTAGTGGTCCTCTCCTATACATTCATCCTCAAAACTATTCTAAAATTCCCTTCTGTTCAACAGCGAAGAAAGGCCTTTTCCACATGTTCCTCACACATGGTTGTCATCTCTATTACTTATGGGAGTTGTATCTTTATGTATATAAAACCATCAGCAAAGGAGAGGGTGACAGTAACCAAGAGAGTAGCTGTGCTCAATACTTCTGTTGCCCCTTTACTCAATCCTTTCATTTACACCTTAAGGAACCAACAGGTAAAAGAATCTCTCAAGCATGTGCTTCAAAGGCTTTATTCTTTTCAAAACAGTGAAAAAAAATGTATACACAAATAATATGGTGTTGGATTATGAATGATAGACTTGAATACAGTCTTCAATTACATTAGTTCTCATTTATACCATTTCTGACTTGACCCTTGATATCACATTAGGTTCATTAAGCCTCTTTGCACATCTCTATGTTTATCTTTCTCAGATCTTCCCAGTATCTAGGAGAAATTTATTTTTTTCAATATACAATACCAAATTCTATCTTTACCTATAAGTGTCACTTCTCATAAAACATAATACTGCATGCTTTAATCAAATGAACCTTGCTAGATATACTTACTTTTCTACTATAGTATATGTGTTAATGGCTTAGCATGGCATTTGCTCTTAAATATTTTGCACTGCTAAAATTATTAGAGATACAGATCATCATATTCATTTTATAATGAAATTGATATTGTAATAAAAAATAAATAGAATATGTAATTTGAAAGATCAAAATAGCTTTCCAAGAGCAATCATCATTTATCATGAACTTTTAAAGAAAATACTGGGTTTAAGGGTGCTGTGAGGGGAGGCATAACATATGCAATAAAAGTATGTTCTACAGAAAATTTCCACATTAGTGTTATAATAATTAAAAAGAAATTTTTTGTAAACATAAGCTACTATCATATCAGTACAAAGAGTTCAACCTCTGTGTTTGGTTCTAATTATGATGTTGCTTTATTTACTCCAAATATTAGAAGTTATACTAATTTATTAAAAAATTCAATATATATTTCATACCTGTATGTGAGGATATTTTATATACATAATCTGTAAATTAAATTTTCATAATTCTACTTGTGTCAATTTTCACCAAGTTTATTATGTTTGGCTTCCATCATAATCAGTCATTTTAACCAATGCATTAGACAAATATGTACACTTGCATCACTATGTACATTTGTACATATAATTTGAAACATCATACCAAATTCTTTACTTTGTTTCCATACAGTAATTCCTCTGCTGCAACCCTACCTCCATCTATCATTAAATCCAAATATCCACTGTAGTTCTTTTAGACACTATACAATAGTCTTGCCTGAAATTTCATGTAAATGAAACCTCAATATTTGAACTTTTTTTTTTTTTTTGGTACCGGGGATCGAACTCGGGTCCTTTTGCTTGCAAGGCAGGCGGTGGAACCACTGAGCTAAATCCCCGGCCCTTCAATACTTGAACTTTATATCCTGCTTCTTTTGTTCAACAAAATGTTTCCATGTATCTATCCTATTGCATGCATCCATAGTTTGTTTCTAATGCTATTATGTTTTTAAAGTTTACTGTGTATTCCAATAATTTAAGGGTTGTATTCCAATAATTTAGTGTTTGTATTCCCTGAACAATTTTTCCACAGAATGAATCATTCACATTCGTCTGTGTGAAAAGTGAGTTCATTAGAATC